CAAAACAAACTCTGCAGACTGACTCAGGCGGCGGGTCTTATTGCAATATCCATTTTATTGTTCTCTTCACACACAAAAATTACAAAACAGAGGGGTTTGCAGCAACAGGATCAAAAAGAAATGTGGTCTTCCCGCAGAGCTGCAGATCTGACGGAGACTGTTGCTTTTTGTTCACAAATCAGTCAACCTCTGCGCGTTTTATTCTTTGATTTCTAACAAGTTTGCCAAAGAATTTACGGGGAAGCGGAGCAGCGCGGCTGACAGCTGAACAAAAGAACAAATCTGCATCTTCGTGAGGGGCTTTGACTTCTGGGATTCATTCGTTTCAACCTCTTTAGTGGAGCTGACGCAGTGCTCACACAGTGAACACTGACAGGGAGTGCATCTGAAGATCTAGGAGCATCTAGTACAGAACGTAACTAGAAAGTTATCACACGTCTCCATGGAGATTATTTTAAGGCATTACTGCTGCAGCGGGGCATGGCGCATGAGAAATAAAAAAATATTATGGAGCTAACATGGTACATCTGAGCAAACTTCACATCTGGACTTAAAGGATTATTTTTTCATTTCACCTCAGACAAATGGGGTAACCAAGTCTGCAAAGTTTTTCTTGGTTACAGTTAAAAAAGCTTACTGTACATCATAACTTAAAAGATACAAACATCTTCAGTTTCTTATGAACAACAAAATGAACTTCTGAAGTGTCAGCAAGCTTTATGAATCCATTCATTTGGCAGAAATCTCTAGCAATAATGCACATTTTGTCGTTGACAGAGCTAATCCTGAAGCTGTGGCTTACGGAGGAACAGACTTTCATTCACCCTAAGTCATCTAACCATGCATTAAGTTGTACACTGCAAAAAATGTAAATACAGAAAAAGGTCATTTTTTCTTAAAATAAGTGCATTTTTTCTTGGATTGAGGAGTTGGAACAAAACTATTTAAAGTTAAGAAAAAAAAAAATGGAATTGTCTTTTTTCATGTGCATATTATCCAGTTATCCTATTTAAAGCATAAAAAATACTAATTCCGTTGCCAAATCATCTTATTTAGCTGCTCAAATTAAGAGGTAAATACACTTAATTTAAGAAATTTTGACAAATTTCTTCATCATTTTTGCAGTGTAAATGTTCCTTTGTTCACTGCTTGACCACCACATAAAAGAAAATGAACATGTGATTAATTTGTTTTCATCACTGAGAACTGGATCAAGTAAAAAGAACAAAAATTCATACATTAAAACAGAAACTATACTTGTTGGTGCAGTCATGGATAAAACTAAGTACACCCCATGATATGTATGCTGGTGGAATTGGTTTTTAGCAACAAGCACTCTCACTACGTTTATCATCATTCCTGATATTCCACCAGAGGATACTTTTGCATATGAAGCGTTAATCACCGTTTTTTCACTTTTGGATATACCAACAGGGGTAATCTTTAGAAATTTTAGTCAACTTTGGGTTGTAAGATGGATTACTTTGAGCCCATGGTAAACTGTTTTGCTGATATGAGTTCTTGCAGCTTCTATAATAGACAGAAACTGAGGGGTGGAGAGATGGAACATGTTGTTCCTCTGAGTGCACGCAAAGCTCACTTAACAATAGCTACACATAAATAGGAAACATCTGTTCTTAAAATATAAAACCCTTTGTGGCACACACAGTTTTTTCACAGATCTATTAAGGAAGAATTCACAGGAAGTGATTCCATTTAGTTTAAAAGTTGAAGCATACCAAAAAATCTGAGTTCTTGGACTTTGGATGTTGTACCAATCTGCAAGAGCCTCAGCCCTGGTTCTATGACATTTTCTCTAACTTATTAAATCAAAGTGTTCAAATATTTCTGTTCTTATATGATATATCGTTTTAATGTGGATCTGCTTTATTAATGGAACGGAAAGTTCCATAGGATTATAAGCCGGAAAGAGTTTAAGTGAATTAAGAGTGTAAAAACTATTCCACTGTCTTGACAGTTATGGTGGTGCTGATGGGGGTTATTTCAGCTATACATTTTACTTTCAGTCATGACATCCTTACATTTTACTACATTTCTTGGTTCACCAGGGAGCCACAGATTCTTCAGCAGCTCCTGATGCTAATTGTGCATCAAGCTTCTGGTCCACTACTTACTGCTGTTTGATCCCCTACTTTTAAAAGAGAAAGATACTGGTGTATTCACCCTTTGGATAATAGAGAAACATTGTTTTGATATGCAATTAAAATTTCTATGAAATGCCAAATAGCCTAAATGTTTTACTTCAGCTGGTGATGAAAATAAACTGACTAACATCTGCCAATATTCAGCTGGAATGTTTTTGACTCTCTGTTCAAAAACTCAGGAATCCAATCTTTTTCTATTAATTAAATGGACTCTCTAAATTTAATTTTACAACTCTATTCAGTGTTTGGAGAGAAATGTGTTCCAATATTGCTGAAAGCAAAGATTTTTACAAAGAAGGGAAAATTTGAAGAAAGTGCTTTTAAAAAATGTAGCTTTGAAATTTTGGGCTATTGTTTGTTATTGTTATTAACTGCAATCTTTACAAATCCCATCTTATAAAATTTGTCCCATACATTTCTGGGTGGTCGGTCGCTAACGTTGTCGCTAACGTCTGAGGAAATCACACATCTTCTTTTGGTGTAATCTGATTTAACAAGAATGCAATTCATTAAATCTATTTTCCCATAAAAAACGCTTGTGAAAATAAACCCCCATAAAAAAACTTTGAAAAATAGGTTTATAAAAAAACATAACAAAAGAACATAAAAAATATATAAATAGTGGTTGAAATTCTGCATACACGTAAAAATTAGTTCTTAAAATCTTATTTTTTTTAAAAGTTTCAGTTTGTAAATTTCTTTTTTTTTTTTTTTGTGGAACATGTTCTCTGCTTTCATAAATAACGGAAAACATTTCTCTACATATAAGTAGATTCCAAATGGTTTGTAAATGAGCCTCTAAAGTAAGTGCTGTTGTCTTTATGCTTTCCTGTCATGTCGTCAGTTTCGTTTTGTATCTCTGCTTCTGTCTCCTTGAACCCCAGTTGGCCTCAGCAGATGGCCGCTCACACTGAGCCTGGTTCTGCTGGGGGTTTCTTCCTGTTAAAAGGGAGTTTTTCCTCTCCACTGTTGCCACAAGCATGCTTAGTGTGAGGGATTGCCGTCGAGTCAATGTAATCAACTGATTTTCCTTGGATAGAGAACTTTGAATCAATATGACTGGATGATCTGGTTGAACTGTAAAGTGCCTTGAGATGATATGTGTTGTGAATTGGCGCTATAGAAATAAACTGAATTAAATTGTTTACATATTAGTGTTTTCTCCTTTCTTGAAATCTGTCCGAACACCTCTTGGTAATCAATAAATGAGGTGCATTTAATTGACAGCAACTATGTGCTACTTTCACTCTCCTATGAGAGCTAATAGGGTGTACTTAGGTTTTCTCAGGGCTGCATAATGGCCCGACCATAGGAACTGATGGGACACTTTCCCATTACAGGTAGATTCAATGTTTCAGGTGTTTCTCAAACTATCTGCTGTTGACATTAGTAAATCAGCCACATCAGAATACACGCTCTGCTTTAAAATAAAATAATATGCTTATACCAAATTTCAGCAAGCAAAAATAAAAAAAAAATATGCTGCCAAGTACAAAAATGACTCTATTTACAGTATCATACAAGATGCAGGGTTACAAAGTGGATGTAGAGAATTAAGGGTACTGTAACACCAAGTGTTGCTGTGTATAGTTGTGCATTTTGTGCTTTAGAGTACAGTTGCTTGCAAAAGCATTCATATCCCTTGAACTCTTGCCATTTTAATCAAGTTATAACTGCAAACCTTGAGAGATTTGGTTGGTATTTTATGAGACGCATAATTTAGGAGAGGTATGGAAATGATTCTTGGGTTTTCTAAAAAGCCTCCTGAATCAGCTCGTTCTAGAACAACCAGACTCACTATGATTAAATCATTAAGCTTTTGGGGGTCGGAGGAGAAATTTACATGATATTATAAAGTAGATTTTGGTTTGGACTTTAACTGGGCCACACAATCTAAATCATTCCCAACTGATTTTCTACCAGGAATTCTCTATTTAGCTCACCTGCCAGGTAATACTGACCCGACTCAATCTTCGTTAGGAAAATAAAGCATGGCCACAACATGGTGCTACCAACACTAGGTTTTTCAGAGGGAATGATTTGTTCAAATCAGAGATGCACAATATATCAACATTACAATTTTTCTGTTTTCCTTGAAACTTGATGTGTTGTCTAATTCCTCTCATGTTTACACATTCTCTGAACTGAGCCATTGATTTCTGCAGCTCTTTCAAAGTTGGAACAGACTTCTCTCTCTCTCAGATGTATGTTGTTATTGCTTCTTCATTTACTCTATTCATTGATTATTAAAAAAAATGAATGTACTGGATTTCATTTTATAGTGTCAGAATGAAAGGAGTGGATACAAATACAGTGTTCACATTTTTATTTGTTAAATTACCTTAAAATTATCATCTTGATTTTCTTTCTGATTAACGATATTGAAGCTTAAGGAAGTAATGTAAAAGATAAATGTGAAAATGTTCAAGGAGAATGAAAGGTTTTGCATAGCGCTTAATAACAGTCGACACACATGATCTGTAAAAACAGTTTTTTTTCTTTGTGTTAGTGCATGAGTAATCCAGCAGGGGGAGACATTTCACAGCAAAATGATAGCACTCTAACTAGGGGGAGAGCTAAATGGAGATGAAGTGAGGGTCAAGGAGCTAATGCTGGAGTGTGCAAATCAAATTCAGCAAAACTGTCTCACCACGTGCGGCACTCGTGGCATCTACGCATTATATACAGATCAGTGAGGTGAATCAGTCAGAAATGTTGCATTAGGGAGAGTTTATAGAAACAAAAGGGAAACCCCTTTTGCTGATCTTCAAAACCGGTGAAACAGCAACCAAAACTTAAATGACATACAGCATGGAAAAAAAACAAAACAACAAAAACCCTCTGGCTCCTGGATGTAAAAGCAGTTATTGGTCTGCCTACAGGAGCTTACCTTTATTCCATAGTGCTTATTTGATCTTTTGGTCCATTTGAGCTTGTCTTTGTTTGAAAAAAGAATACTTTTCTCCTGTTTGCTTTTGTCTGTTGCATTAGCTGAAATGTGTGCTTTGATCAGGGTGGACCCCATGCAGAGCTGAGTGGGATACCCAAAAGATTACGACAAGACAAAAAAAAAGAAAAGAAAAAACAAGTGCTTGAGTGTTTCTGAGTGAATTGCTCAGATGAAAGTTTCTCTTTTTAATAGGTAATTCTCAGTTTGACACATTTCCCGAAGCGAGCGTCTTTGGTCCAACGTGGCAACCTCCTGGCGGCGCACCTTCCTGTTTGTATTGAGAGTGCACCGTCACTTCTAGCTGTCAAATCCTGCATTTTTTTTTTGCAGGTGTCAACTCAATGATACAAAAAAAGGTGGAAAATCTTTGAAGTCACAGTTTGATGTTTTCCCTCAGAAGAAAAAAAAATATTGTGACTAATTAGGTATAAAAGTGATTTACTGATGAGAGCTTATGCAGCTCTCAGTTGATTGTTTTCAGTATTTTCCTTAAAAGAAAAAAGTCTTAAAGTTTGCCTATCGGTTCCCCGGCAGTAATTGGAGGTGGTACAGGGTCTAGACCTGGGTGGAATAGGAGCGGTGCAGCGTCGCGCTCCGGCCAGCCCCGTGGGCCGCGCAGTGTGGCGAGTGCTGCTCCGGCTGGTCTAGACTTCGTTGGAAATGGAGCGAGACGGTACGAGGACATCGGGAGTGGCGGGGAACCGATAGGGCTGATGGTCATGTGATCTCTGTGAATGGAGATTCCCGCGAAGTCTGCAGGGGTAGAGAAAGGAGTGAGAAGGAGAGAGAGGTGGGGAAGGGAGGGTGGAGGGGAAAGAAAAGGGGGAGGTGGAGAGAAGAATAATCCTATGCAATGTGCAGAATGAGTTTGTAGGAAGAGAGGATGTACGAACAGGAATAAGACAGAGATAATGAGGGATAACGGTGACAAAAAGGGTTCAGGTTTGGTTAGAATGGTTGCATGTAGGCATTGAAAGGCGGAGGGGAGGCAGAGAGTGCAGGATGCTGGAGGGGAGTGAAGGATTGAGAGGAGAAGGACAAAGTGGGAGACAGAGGAAAATAAGCAGTAAGGTGAGGGTTAGTGACAAAGACAGACCACAGAGGAAGGAAGACATTCACACAGCCACTCAGACGTGAGCACCCCTTTGAGAAACGCTTTGGGTCATTCAGACCTTTTTAGGAGAGGATAAAACCTTCATGGGCATTTACTGTCTGTTAGTCCTGGAGGGCGAACCGCCTTCTTTCACTGTCAGACTGCTGACGCATGCCAGGAGGTCTGGCCCTCTAACCCAACAGTGACAAGGAAAGCAGAATGAATGCATATGATGCCTCCTGCCTCTTCATTTAAAGAGTTGAACGAATAACAAAAGTCCTTTTGTGTCTTTATTTATTGTTTTTACTCCGCAACAGCCTACAACTCTAAAGTGAACCTGAGCACCATGTCTCATCTCCGTAGCATATTGCTGCCACCACCATGCTTATCACTGAGGGTGGTGTGTTTGGGGAGATGTATGCTGTAATGCAACACACATGTTTTGAATGAAGGCTAACAATTTCAGCTCTTTTCTCATATGACCGTAGCACCAACTACAATTCACAGGTGAGTTCACTCTAAAGGTGATTTTCACGCCAGAGTGAATGATTTACATCGTCCTTATGTTTTTAGGAGCTCTGGGACATGAAGGGAGGGGAAGGAAGCGAATACAATGAAGGGAGGGTGCCGGTGGACCTTCGAAGGTTGCAAAGCGATATTCGCTGGAGTTGAAAACAAAATTTTTCTGTATTTTTCAATTGCAGATAAACAATCAGGGAATAGATGCAGCTATGACGTAAAGGAGTTCTTTGGAGAAAATATTTTCTCAGTCAAAATGGAAAAAAAGAGAAAATAATGTGGACAAAAGATCAAGTTGGAAATTCTCTTAAGAGGTTTTTAGGCGGATTTATAAGAAATAATTTCAATTTAGCCTTAGAAGGACTACTAAATCATTCATCATATGTTGTCCTTCCTTCGATCTAGTGCAGACACTGGTCAGCCGCTGCCAACTCTCTCTTTTGGGTTCTCCACCTGGTGAACTTCTCCGATGTTCCTCTATCCCCCTTCGATCTCCCAACATTAGCTTGCAGAGCTAATCGTTACCTCTCCTCCGATCTGGCAATCTCTCTGAACAATGAACTGCTCCACGGGAAGCTTATGTGATCCAGCTGTAGCTCCTGGACTCCCACAGCTAGAAGCATCAATAGAGGATCTTGTGGATCTAGAGCAGGGGTCGGCAACCCACGGCTCTTTAGCGTTCCCCTGCCCTGGAGCTTTTTCAAAAATTTCTGAAAATCAAGTTTTTCTTTCTTTTGTTTTAATATGGTGTTCAGGAGGTCAAACAAAAAATAAATATGTTTTCCAATGCTGTAAACATTTGTATAATAAATAAATTTAAGTGGGTGTCATAACTTGCAACCAGCGCTGCGCAGTGCCAGGCAAACAAAGCTGCTCGAGTGTCTCGGACCATGGATCCCAAAGGGGAAAAAAGGAAGATAGCTGATGAGAAAAGAGGATTCAAAGGATGGACCGTATCATTTTCTTTCATAATCAATGCGGAAAGGATTGCCCGCATTTTTGCCTTGTAATGAGAGGTTGGCAAAAAATTAAAATAAAAATTTGGAAAAGCATTTCCAGGGAAGGTAAGCTAAATATGCAGCCAACAACCAAGCTGGGAGGGAGAGAAAAATGGTGACTGCAGAACTTCTGGATAAATTAGAGGAGGGCAAATTTAGATTTAAGAAGTGGATTGCATCTCCAAACTCCACTACTGCTGCTAGTTTGGTTGCAAGGTTCGAAAACCGTCCACAGATCGAACAGGTAGAGCTCTGATGCTCATTTGCTCGAGGATGAAGATTTAATCACGAATGCTTATTATATATTTAAGCCCACATAGTCATTTTCTATAGTGGGATAAAACACTTAGAGCCCGTGTTTCCATAAGAGGCATGTATAAGACTTTTGTGCGGCTCTAGGCAGATTTATTTTTGTTTTTTTGGTCAAACATGGCTCTTTGAGCAGTTTGGGTGGCCGACCCCTGATCTAGAGAAACCCCTGCCTTAGACTTTGTTTGGCTTTCAAAAAGAAATAAAGCACTCTACAAAATCCACATTCTCCATGTTACAGTGAAACTTAACAACCAGCAGATTAGCTGATGTGAATGAGCCTTTCACCTGCCCTGTAAATTTTTCCACCATCTGAACTACTGTTGCTCACCAGGGAAATTTCTTGCGCAAAGTCAGATGAGCAAAGGCTGTAAATTGGTGGTTTTTGTTGTTGTTAAGGGGTTCTATGAAGGCACCAGTAGGTATTAAAACTTTTCTCATTATCGCCTTCTCTCTTTGTGCTCCTAAATGCTCCAGAACATCTCTCCAAGGGGGTGAGAGGACTCGTTGATCAAAAGTAACATTTATATGAAGTTGTTGATGCTGAAAAGTCTCTAGGTAAGGTTGAAAGTAAAAAAAAAATTCATTTTGCATGATATAGGATTTTTAACAGATTTGCCAGGTTTTCCCCTTTATTTGTAAGGACTGATGTGAAGTTTTACTAAGATATGAGTCATCCTCTGCCTTAGTTCACACAAAGGATATCTTTGCAGAGTTTTTTAAGCTTTCAGCTTAAGTGTGCAAAGATTGAAATGATTCATTCGGGTCTCTAATTCATAGGCTGCATGCATGCTTATTTTGTTAGAGTGCAGGAAAAGGGAGGATAACGATTTATCTCAGCCATTTGGTGGGCACAGTTTCGCTTTACACCCACCCTTACCTGAGGGCCACTTAACTTTTCGAGTGGACTTTCCATACAGGGCAGTGTCACCATGGGCATGCCCAGCATTGATTCAGGGCGTTGTGTTTGCAGTGGAGGCAGGCTTGGCTGAAACTGTTGGAAGTTGTTAATGACACAGGTCACCTGTAGAGCGATGGAGAAAAAAAAGTCAGACCAGATACTACCTTTCGCTGACCCGAACATTTTGATTAGTCATTTGAAAATCATGACTTGTGTCAACTCGCTTTGAGTTTTGCTGGAAGAAATTGGGCCAGACTTGTGGCAGAGACACAATCAAAGCAACAGCGACACCTCAGCTTTTCAAATCTGACATCAAAAGAGGTACCGGGTCCGACGAAGACATCTTAAAGGAATTGTACACCTAAAACATGATTAGCCTTCATTTTCTTCTCACCCCCATACTGAACAACACTCTGGAGTACTTTTTTGATATCTCAAATGCACCTGGAGATCTGGGAGGCTTCTTGCTGTCTGCTGACATTCAAATAATGGAGGTCTATGGTGCCCGAGGCAGAAAGGTCCATAAAAGTCCACAAAAAACGTGTCAATATTCCTCCATACTGCTCGTCCAATGTATTCCAAGTGTTCTGAGTGGGTAGCATCCACAATTTACTCGAAACGAAGTCATTTAGAATGTTTTTAGAGCATAAACAGTAGTGTATAGGATTTTCTAAAAGCGCGTTCACGAGTCTACGGAAACCGCGGCAGACCAAACCAGACGAAAGAGCGCATTCAGCTCGGCAAAGAACTCATGCTCTTCCTCAACACTGAAGTCCTCAGACATTTTTCTTTCGTTGTTTCTTTCTTTGCACAGGTAAACAGCACATTTCTTCTTCTACGCTTGCATTATCAGCAGAGCAGATGCTGAATGCGCACTTTCGTCTGGTTTGGTCTGCCGCGTGAACGCGCTTTTAGGAAATCCTATACACTACTTTTTATGCTCTAAAAACATTCTAAATGACTTCGTTTCGAGTAAATTATGGACGCTACCCACTCAGAACACTTGGAATACATTGGACGAGCAGTATGGAGGAATATTGACACGTTTTTTGTGGACTTTTATGGACCTTTCTGGACACAACTGAACCGCGCTTACATGGTACTAGTTCATCAGTAGGGCTCGGTGCGGTTCATTTTCGGCTCGGTTCTCAGATAACAAATAGCGTGTGAGCAGACCGCGTCATCTCCTTAGAGTCACCCTCCGTAATCATGGAATTTCAGACATTAATAAAAATACTAGCTTCTCTGTCGTGCCACAGATTTCCAGTGATGATTCAGCGATTCCAGTGATGAACCTCAAAGGCTGTCGTTATTTCCTGCGTCTGTAAGCTCTGATTAGACTATTGTTTGTCATATCCACTTTCCAAAAGCCAACTCTGTCAAGTAAGGTCACCAAAGACAATTATTTTTGCCTGACTCTTCGCAAACAACAAAATATCACAATTATAACTTAACTTCCTAAATGTTATGGGCGTCGCCATGTTGATTTGCTTGTTAAAATGGTAAATGGCCTGTACTTATACAGGGCTTTTTCAAGTCAGGAAACTTGACTAAAGTGCTTAACACTACATTCAGTCATACACTCACTCACACACTGATGGTGGCAAGCTACATTGTAGCCACAGCTGCCCCGGGGCTCACTGACAGAAGCAAGGCTGGCGTACACTGGCGCCACCGGGCCCTCTGACCACCATCAGTAGGCAATGCAGGTGAAGTGTCTTGACCAAGGATATAATAACACTGAAAGCCGGAGTTGAGGCTTAAACCATCAACTCTTCGATTTTAGGGCAAATTCCTAAACCTGACGCCACTGTTTACCTCTAGAGAGCAGTAGTACCGTCGATTATGACTATAAGGCGAGGAACCGTGCTAGGGTGATATGTAAACGGTCATAAGGAAAAGAGCTCGGCACGAATCGGTTTTCAGAGGGGTAGTGTAAATGGGGCTTTAGTTTAAATGCCAATTTTACCTCATTCCAAACTATGAAGAAAAACTTTGGTTCTCAAGAATAAAATCAATATGGAAGAGTGATATCATTGCTTAATTTTATTGATAAGGGTTCCATCCATCCATCCATCCATCCATCTTCTCCCACTGTCTCAGGGTAGCGGTGGGGTTGGTGTCTATCTCTGACAATCTATTGATAAGAGGTAAGGTAGTCTCTGGACAGATCGCCAGTCTGCTGCTGGGTGCAGTTAAGAGTTTTAAACTGAAATATGTTTAACATGGAGTTGAATTATCTTTGTTAATACATTTTAAAATCTTGAATGAAAGCTGATATAAATTTATTCAATTTGTGTGCAGATTTATGACTAAACCTTCAGCTTGAATTTCACTTTCACCTGTTGTTCTAACACACAGGCAGGTGTTATTCGATAGATATTAAACAACATTTACCACACATACCTGTGATTCTAATTTTGAGAAAATCTAAGAGATTAAAGGGTTAAATCTACATTTATCGCCTCACCAAGAACACAGAAATAGCTCCACCGGTGAAGAATCCAGCCAGCACATCGGCCCAGTGGTTGCGGTACTCGGCGACCCTCACCACTCCCACCAGCATGGCCAGGCACAACAGAGTGAGGCTGATGGTGGGTTTGGTGAGCCGCGTACCCTTGGTTTTAAACACCAACGTCACATACATCTGCAGAGGGCCATTCAAAAGAGAAAGAGCAGTAAGGCACAAAAGTCATACAAGGTAATACATGATATTAAAACAGGGAAAATCTTTGATTTATTAACTACGGAAGAAGATTAGGGCCACTGAAAAAAAAAATGTCAGTATGATATGAGAAAGAAGTCAGAATTCTGACTTTAATCTCAGAATTCTGAATTTAATCTCAGGACTAAATTCTGACAGCTAACAAACATGTTGGCATCAAGCCGTAGCCATGTCTGTTTTACAGACTAAACTAGGTCTCGTTTTTAAATCACCTTCTGCTCTTCCATTAATGAAATAGCATCACCAGGGACCTCTTGGGCACGTAAAAACTTGCCTAATTCTGTCTTCCACCAATGTGTTTCTGGCCCTCCCAAACAACTCATATCTTTGGCAGTGAAGCTGAGTGCTCCCACATCTCTTCCTTCATGGTGCCCATCTACATTAAGCTGATGAAGGTTCTCAGTCATCCAGGTCATAGTCATTCCGTAAAAATTCAAAAAATATCCACTGGACTTGGTTTCTAAGATTTGAAGACGTTTCGCCACCTCTCCAGGAAGCTTTCTCAATTCAAATGTCTTGATCCGCAGTGAGTTTGAGTCCGACCGACCGACTGACCCTCAGAATCACAGACAGGTTTCAGATATTACAGGCTAACGATGGAACCAAATGACCCATTCATCGGTTCATTTGCATGTTTCCAAGCGATACAAGGCTTTGTCAATATAAGACAAAGTCTTATCAAACTCACTGCGGATCCAGACATTTGAATTGAGAAAGCTTCCTGGAGAGGTTGCGAAACGTCTTCAAATCTTGGAAACCAAGTCCAGTGGATATTTTTTAAATTTTTACGGAACAACCATCTATATTAAGATTCAAAATTCTGAGATCAAAGTCAGAATTCTGATAAAAAAAAGTCAGAATTCTTAGATTAAAATCCGATTTCTGAGATTAAGGTCAGAATTCTGAGAAAAAAATTTGAAATATGAGAAAAAAGTCAGAATTCTGAGAAAAAATTTAGAATTCCAGATTAAACTCAGAATTCCTCCTTTTTTCCCATATTAAACTGAAATAAAAGTTTACTTTTTTTTTCTTGGCTGCCCTAATTTACAGATTTTTCAAACAATAAACTTTTTCTTTTTTTTTCTAAAGGACAACAAAGAAGACTAACTAACTAGCAGTGTGCTCCGACCTACCACTGTGTACATTGCGGAGTACACACTGAGTGCCGCATCCTTAGAAGGGAAGGATTTCCGTGCTGACATGACAACCAAGGGGTTGCCTGTGCAGGCGCGGCGCTCTGTGATGTACTGCATGGTTGACTGGCAGCCTAACGCTGTGTAGTTTGGTCGGCAGGCGGACAGGAAATGAGGCGTCTGGTTTCCCGTCACCACCTGGCCGGCATTGGCAAAAATGGCAGTGGTGAACAAGCCGAAGGCATACACGCCTATGTAGAAAAAAACACAAGAATCCGATGGGAGCATTAGTGGATTAGGTAATAAGATGTTAAAGATTTCTATCTCTGCATATGGGAGAAGAAATAAAAGCAAGTTCAATGTTTGTGATAAGCATCTTATCTTGTACACATGCTTAAAGATAAAACAGATGATACTTTCCCCCCTCTCCTTAAAATAGCTCCAACACTTTATTATCAGTCAAGGTGTGAAATTGTCAGAGTAGTCTTCACCTCAGCTCAAGATGCAAACTTGCAAGCTTGTTAATATTCATGGAAGTGTCCCTGCAGGGATCCTCAATCTTCTACCTCTAGGATCACAGCCCATTTAATCGTCCAATTAACAGCTTCTTGTAACAGTACAGAATGACAAACTGGAGTGTTGCTGCCTTATCTTTGATGATGCTGACTTGTTTCTTTATGTTTTCATTCATCCTCAAGCCTCACTCACAATATAGCTGTGATAAGAAGATATATAGTCCCATTAGCATAAATGTAGCTGAATTAATTGACCAGTTTTGTTTAATTTGAAGATGGTGGGGGTGCTGATTAACCTTCGTTGACCTCTGAAAGTTTTCATTAATCTTCAAAATAGTAGCAGCACAAATATAATTGTTGCTGCAGAAACATAGCACAAAGTTTGACACCATTTTTTTTAGATTTTATCTTGGCTGTTCCCCAATTTCGTCTCAGAACCAGATGAGATGGTAAAAGAAAGTTACTGAATAACTACTGATACTGAGCAAAGACGCATCTGAGCAACAAGCACTCACTGACTGAAATATTAAATTGTTGATATGGTAGGGTGACCGGACGTCCTCTTTTTCCCAGATATGTCCTACTTTTCATACCTAAAAAAATGTCAGGCGATAATTTCAAAATCGTCCGGGATTTTGGTCGACTACACTGCGCGCTCTCTGACATCCAGTTGCCTGGAACACTTGATGAACAGAGCATCACTTTGGAGAGATACGTTCAGGTTTTACAAGCAACCTCCTCCCCACACCCATGAATTATTGTATTGCCTGCACGCCCTTCATATTCAAATAAAACAATAGATATCAAGTTTTCATCCGAATACCTGAAAGGAATGTTTGCACATAGTATGATCATTAGTTGACCTAAGCAATGTTTAATATTTGGTCATCTGCTGGCAGTATTTACTCACAGATTCACCACTGTTCCTGTTGTATTTTGTTATACCCGACGCATCTCTCTAGGCATTTCATTTATTCTCTGGATTTTCTCAATTGATCGTGGACTAGGCCTTTCATTTCGCACCTCTGCTGGGAAAATGCGGCTTGCTTTGCTCCATAAGATCCTGGATCACTTATGTCTTGTTTAGACATTAAAGAAAGTACAAAAAAAAGCTATGATGGGAGTAACGGTGTTGAAAGTAACGGCGTTACTAATGCTATGTTAAGAAGAGGGGAAAGCTACCTGCCGGGGTTTAATAGCCCTTCAGATAGCGTCCCCACCTGTTAGACAGGAGGAACACTATCTGACGGGGTTTAGAAGCCCTTCAGATAGCGTTCCCCCATGTTAGACAGGGGGAACACTATCTGCAGGGGTTTAGAAGACCATCAGATAGCGTTCCCCCATGTTAGACAGGGGGAACACTATCTGCAGGGGTTTAGAAGACCATCAGATACCGTTCCATGTCGTCAGGGGGAACACTATCCGACGGGGTTTAGAAGACCATCAGATATTTGCTTTTACTAGTAACTAGTTACTTTTATTGTGGAGTAACTCACTTTTTGGGAGAAGTAACTAGTATCTATAACTAATTACTTTTTCAAAGTAACGTGCCCAACACTGTATAAAACACAGAAGGGAAATATGTCAAGTCTACTGAGTGCTATTAATTTATCTGAAAGCCTTTGTAGGTAAGCAGAGTGAGCTAATGGCAGAAAGTCCTTATGTGATAGTGATGTTGGGAGTAGACTAAGCCCTTAGAAGCAGGACTTCTATAGACAATTATAAACAGTCAGGCCAACTATTTTCAGGTGCACTGCTGCTAAGATCATAAAAATGTTCGTAGTTTAGAAGTTCCAGCAAGAATTTATATTTTTTTCTTAACTTCTTCTCAACTGTGGATGAAGGGACCAGAAAAAAGAAGTGAAATGTCATATCATATATTTTTTGTGTGGACAGAGTCATTCTCACCTAAGAAGCGAACAATCCGCCTGAGCAGAGGGTTGAAGTAGCAGCAGTCTGCTGTGACTATGGTCTTCTCCTGGGTTCCCTCTGCCTTGGTAAAGAACGCACAAAGCTCTCCAACCAGGATCTGTGCATAAAAGTAAAACAAAGAAATATGAATCCCAAAAAGTTAAAAAACAATCCACTGGACTTGGTATCCAAATTTGAAGATGTTTCGCTTCCCATCCAGGAAGCTTTATAATTCAAAATGTCAGAATAGCATTGGGTTTGAGGCTTTATAGAGTGCACCAAAAACAAAGCCTTGTTTTGGCTTAGAAAACATGCACATTGAACTGGATGAATGGATCCACCCCTTTGGAATGGGAGTTGTTTGGGTTCTTTGTTAGCCTGCAATACCTCATACCTGTCTGTGTCTCTGAAAGGGGGGTCGTTAGAGGGAATTGTTGGCCTCTAACGAAGGTGTTCCCTTCTCATGTCTTCCTGCTATGGTTTATAATCATCTATGGTTTAACTAGTGCTATTGTTTTAGCTGTATTGTACTTTGCTTGCTGGCAGTACGTCAGAAGCTTGCTTAAAACTTGTCCAGACTCGGACTGCCACCATCTTTTTGTTTATTTGGAACGATACATACATTTTGGGCAAAATGTGCAATAAAATTTGCATTGAAAATATTCTAATCATACTTCAAGCAAAAACGTGTCTTTTTTTGTCTATTATGTTCTCTTCAAAGTAATTCTGCCTTTCATTTTCCTTCTTTTAACTCATTTACACAGTTGTTTAGTATTTTATTAGTAAAATTTTTTATCCAGCTAAACCTAACCAAATGCAAAGTACGTTTTTGTTAAGACAAAGTTTTAGGAACCAAGTAAAAGAACAAAAACCTAATTAAAAAAGATTTTTAAGTACTGTTAGCATGCAGCAACATGTTCAACACTAGAATCTTATAATGCAAAAAGCATAATTTACTTCATAGCTGCCTGTCATTGCTAGTGTTTTTTCATGTTTAAATGAATGTGGACTGCATTTTAGCAGTTATTAAGTGAAAATTCTTATGCTTTTCACTTAATTACTGAATAACCTCAACAAATCTGTTCTGTATTAAGGCGCTGGTCTATTCATTGATTTATAGACTAACAGAAGTATGTTAGGTCTATTCGCTGAGGTACAGGGAACCAGTGAAAGGACTTCAGAACTGGGCTGATGTGCTCTACTTTCTTATTTCTAATGAGAACACTGACAGCAGCGTTTTGGATCAGCTGCAGATGTCTGATGGACTTTTTTGGCTAAAACTACGAGGGAACAGTTGCAGAAATCAATTCTGTTAAAGTTACATGGATATTGAGTTTTTCAAGATCCTACTTGTACATTAGTCCTTTAATCCTGGAAATGTTCTTCAGGTGATGAGAGGCAGACTTAGTAACTGACTTTATGTGAGAAATCGTAAACCATGCAAGTAAACTCACTATAGTCCTGAGAAAGTGAAGAACGAGTGTCGATTAAAGCTGTCAGTAAGTGTTAATATGATGTGTGGAGCTTCTTTAAATTCCAGCTTCCAACCAACATTGTTAAAGCTTTTTTTCACACATAATGAGCAAATCACAGCAATATTTAGCCTTCAATGAGAACATTTCCATGTAGGAATTGTGTCACTGAATCTGTGGTGTCTGCACCACTACCTCTGTAGTCCTTAATTATATACAGCAAATAACGAACCAGTTCAAAGCGTAGTAATGACTAATGTGTTACTGTCATTTACAAACTAATTAGTTTTCTTTAAAGCAGGCCAAGCCTAAATCAACGCCAGCAAAACCAAGTGCTAACATGTTTTGAGCTTTCTTTATAAAGTTAAGACAAACTTTTTTTCAATAATATTAAATGTATTTTCTAATCTGTTCATTACATTGAATTCATATGATGGAAGAGTCCTTAACAATGTCCTCCTTCATGTTTTACCTTCTTTGTCTAAACATAACATAGCTAAAAACACACATCGGCCATCTAGAGTGTCCCTGGTGTTAATAAGGCAACCAAAGTTATTAATACCGCAGGAATACTCACATTGTATTGATACCCAATTATCTAAATGGTTATTGATTTCTGATCAAATGAGACAAATAGAGTCTTTAAAATATTATTTAAAATCAAATTATCCATTGCAAAACCATCAAGATAAACTTTGTTCCTAAATATAAAATCTATGCTGAACAGTGGTATTGTTGCATCATTTTACTGTGGATCATTTGATGATATGCTAATCAAATCATATGAAAAAATAAAAGGCATAGCCCATGTGCGTTTTCTCTGATGTCTACTGTTTTTTTTAGTTCTCAGTATTTTTGGATGTTTGCCTCACGTTTTCATCAAAACTACAAGAACTTATCTCCGCCTCAGTTATCTCTGCATTTTTGGTTCCTCAAGCAACTTCACCCTCCCTTGACACCTAAGGTAAACGGGCAGCTATACAGGGATTGCGAAAAAAAAAACAAAAAAAAAAAACTAAATAGTTTTTATTTAAAATAAAATAGGTTAGAAAATGTATATGTTAAAAATAAAAATATGTTAAAAATAATACATATTATAACTCTGCCTTTTAACCAATATCTCATGAGGCTTTAAGCACAGGCTTTAAGCATGATTCCATCCATCCATCCATTTTCTGTCACGCTTTATCCCAGCTGGAGTCAAGAGTGGTGCAGGTGCAATCTCCAGCTGTCTACAGGGGAGAGGCGGGGTACACCCTGGTAAGGTCTAGTCCATCGGAGGGCAACGAAGGGACAGCTTTCCCAGCGTTTGTGTCATTACACTGTCAGAAGTACAGAGCAACAAAATGAACTCTCTGCAATTAACCCATCCCCTTTCGGAGCAGTGGGCTGCCATTGTGTGGGACCTGGGAAGTGGTGTGGGGTTAAGAGTCTTTCCTCAGCAACCCAGAGTGGCAGTCTGTGGGAGTGGGGCTCGAAAAATCCCTCCAATAATTGCATTTTTTAAAAGGGCTCCAATCATCAATCATCAATATCTCTCACAAATTAGTGGATTTAATAAATGTAAACCACATCCCACAACTAAAAGAGTGTAAAATTATCTTACTAGATGGAAATCCCTACCCATATAGGGCTGCTCCCAGGCTCAGACTGGTAATCTGTGACACTGGGCATCTGCCCAATGGGCCGGTCCTAATTTCAGCGTGTGAGGGCCGGCCCTCCTTAAACACTTACTCTCTTACCCTCTCACCGAAGCACCTACCTGTGATAGTAAATAACTCAAGGAGCTCAAGAAGTATTACAATGTTAACTTCCTAAATGATGCATGCAGTATATATAGCCCTTCTTGTCATGGACATCCCTGTGACGGTTGACACATGGTGGAATTTTCTATTTCTTTAAACTGTAAATTATAATAATACTAAAATTCATTCTTTAAACCAAATTACGGTGTTCCTCTTATATCTGGCCAATTTGTGTTTGAATATTTTGCAAAATTATGTTGCGGTGCATGATGGGGTTTTGCATCAGTTTACATTAATCCATTTCATTGCCCACATGCCACCTAGACTCGCAGTAAATGTTTACACACCGCTGAGCTTTCATGTATTGATTCTTGAAGAACTGCCTGTCTGCCTCTATATTGTATTGCTTTATGTTGTTTGTTTTTTTACAACATTCGGGCTTACGCTGAACAAGGTTGTGTGAGTATGTGTAAGGGTGTCTGGCTCGCTTCGTGCAAGTGCGGACGTTATGCAGCAGTCATGTTGCATCCGTGTTAATAACCAAAGCCAGTTAAACCGCATTATAGAAGTCTTGGTGATGGTTGAAGATAGATCGGTTAATCCACAATGTGTATTGGTATTGTGTTTCACATTTGAGACGCACGCATTTGAAGGTGCTTCTATTTTTTTTGGGGGGGGGGCGTTGTAGATGGAAAAATGCCAGGGCCGAAAATCGTTGCCAGTCTGAGCCTGGCTGCTTCAATAATAAAGATGTTCTTGCTAAAAATAAATTATCTACAGTATTTCCCATGATTCCAAGAAAACCAGGATGGTTTAAATCTTCCACTACCGAATTTCTCTGGAAACATAAACCCCCATGTATTAGCTAGAAGACTAAAGACAAAGGAGGATTACATGGGCCCTACTTCTCTCATCACTTCAAAGCAAATAGGCTACAATACATATGTAAATGGCAAAATAACAGCCCAAGATGAGTCCTAGTTAGATGTAGAACAGTCTCTATCATTTGATATTAATGGTGCTGATCTTCCATTCTTTAACTTAAACATAAAAATGCATATAAGTTTTAAAAGCATCAGGAATAGCTCATCTTTGACAGCTTGGAGGGGGGTTTATCAAAATGGCAGGATCCTCCTTTGGCAGGTTGGCTACCTGCTCTGGTGTCTTCCTACAAGCACTGCTAGGTCCTGGCTTGTGCTTGGTGCCCCCCTGGGCCTCAGACCCACCCGGGACCACCTTGGGAATGATCGCCTGCCAGCGGAGCCCATTGGCTCGCTTTGCGTAGATAAAAGTGTTTGACCTCCGGGGTCAGCCCATCAGGGTTTGGGCCCCTTTGGGGTTTGTCTCCTCAGGAGACAGGTCCTCGTGTCCTTCTGTGTTTATTGGTCCTAGGCCAAGTGGGGCAAGTCTGTGGCCACCAACACCTCCTATTGAGCATATTTTCTTCTAAAGAAGCTTTGTAAATCCGTTATACAGGAGGCTGCCCATGCATACGTAGTCTCTTTCCAGATGTTAACAGATACACACTACTACTAAACTAAGCTGTAGCTACAGATACATATATACCACCCTGAATAATATTTTGTAATCAGCATGTTTTGCCTTCAACATACATTGATATCTAAGGGATTTTGCTGATGTTCTGTTTTCTGTCCCTCTCGTCTCAAACTTGTGTGGAAGCAGACTTCTAGGGGTTACTGTATATCTTCTATTTTGGCTATTTTGTCACTTTTCATGCTCTCTTTCCTGTCTCAGTCTTTTTCTCTCCCCTTAGTTCTTATTCTCATTCTTTCTCACCTCCCTTTCCATCTGCGTGTCCGTTGTATACAATTTTACTACCTAAATAATTTTCAGTAATGTTTAATGTACAAGTGGCAAGCGGAACCACATGGCAACAGTTA